GCACATTGATCGATTTGCAATCTTCAAACATGTGATTGAAACACTGCAGCCGAGCTAGCAGAGACAAGGGAGCATAGCGCGCACTAACCGTGAAGCCGAGGCCACGAAGAAGCGAGATGGCGGACATGTATCGATCATCATGCAAACCATCGAGCAAGCATCAGGTGTCCAAGTGCGATTGCCCGCTCCACTCGGTTCGACACTTCTCTCATGTGAGTATGAAAGTTTAATGCGTTCGTGCCATTGGGATTGTCGGCCTTCGTGCCAGTTGTGATTTTTGGCCTTCGTGCTATTGGGATTATCGATTTCGGTCTTTGTCGGTTCGTTGTTGTTTCTTTAGGTTGGAAACCTCCCGTGCAGGGAGGTTTCAAAAATTTTCAATTTTGAGTCTAACACGTGCAATCTCTTCTCTTTTGTGCAGCCTCCTCCGTCAAGCGGTTCAAACAATCCCGCTAGTGTGTCACCGAGGGTCGATCACGTCAACCCTTCGCCGCATCCGGTCCTTCACCGCTATCCGAGGGGCCACACCTGCAGCCTCCGTCGCCACAGTGAGGGGATGTTGAACTTTGTGATGTTGAACTTGTAATAATAAACTTGTGATGTTGAACTTTGGTGCATTTGTGATGGATTTTGATGGATTTATTAAATATGCGTGCTTGTGATATATAATGCATGTTGGTGATATGGATGTGATGATTGATGTATATATATATATATATATATATATATATGGAATATAAATAATTGCAATTGCAATGGAATGGTCTTTGTCGAAAGTGCCATGGGCAAGACACTAGGCAAAGATTTTTCAAAAAAAAAAATTTGCGAGTGCCTCCATGGCAAGCACTCGGCAAAAGTATTTTTTAAAAAATCCATAAATTCTTTGCCGAGCACCTAAACAGGGGACACTCGACAAAGAAATTATTTAAAAATAAATAAATAAAACTTTGCTTGCAGAGTGCTCAGGCGGGGCACTTTCGGCAAAGTAATTTTTAAAAAAATAAAAAAGTTTGCCGGTAGTGCACTTTCGGGGGCACTTTTTTAAAAAATTTAAAAAAATTGCCGAGTGGTGGGGGTCAGGCACTTGGCAAAGTAATTTTTAAAAAAAAAAAAAAATTGCCAGTGTTGGTTCGGGCACTCGGCAAAATAACCGTTAACGGCCGACGCGCAACGGCCGAAAATATTTTACCGAGTGCCGCCCCAAGCACTCGGCAAAATTATTTTTTATTTTGCCGAGTGCCCCGATAAAAAGCACTCGGCAAAGACCCTTTGCCGAAAAAAAATTTGCCGAGCGGACTTTGCCGAGTGCTACACTTAGCAAAGTCTTTGCCAAGTGCAACGAGCTCTTTGCCGAGTGTAAAAACACTCGGCAAAGCCGCGGCCTCCAGTAGTGCACCGTTGGGTAGAGGCTGGATGATGATGTTGGGTAGAGGTTGCAATATGGTGTTGGATGTGGGGAACGTGAGTTGGGATCCTCAAGGGTGAAGATGAGGATAGAGGCAAGGTTTTCACCCAACAGTTTAAATCCGATCGGTTTGCGTCTACAAAATCTTGCGAGGGATAAGTACAAAATCCCTAAAATTCCATATTTACCATTAATATAGAGCCCACATGTCATAGACACATCATGACAAAATACGACCTTGAAAAGTTTTGAAATGGCATGTGAAGAATTTACTTTAAACTTCTTATTAGCTGTTTAATTAGAAGACTGATTTCAAGACTAACACCAATGTAAATTACGGGGTCCGTAAAATTTTACAACCTAATGGATCTAAAATGTCTGCTTGGATGGACAGTAACGGTTATAATCTCACAACAGTATTATGCCTTTCCAACCGAAAAACAGATGTCGTGTCCAAATGCTCTCATTCTTCAGTCCATCAAGGAGAAATTGGGCGCTTGACTGATCATGGTCATGGGATTGTAGCATGTTTATTTGGTCTTCGATTGATTTTTTTTCTTGCTGCTATTGTTCTTCGCAAAAAAAAAAAAAGAATTTACCCAAACAATCATTTACATGGGAATGATGTTCTGGTTGTCTCCTTGAGCACAAGAAATTGCGGGTAGAAACAAATTACAGGTGAAATATTTTACAAAAATTCCATACAGGAGCTTACTCATAATGACATGCGGCTTGTTTCATTTGATTTATGCGTGTACACAGTTGTGTACTCGTGTGGACCTCAGCATCGATCTACGCTAGCTGCGTGCTACATGCATGCATGCAGCATGCCTGCATGCGCGTATTTTTGGTGGTCCACTTGTAGTTGTAGGACGCGCGCGTGCGACACTGTTCATCGATCGAGTGACACATGAATGTGCATGCGGAAGCTAGCAGCCCGCCTAGTAGCTTGCATTGGTCTGCCACGACCACCAGATACAGGAATGCACATGCATGCATGCAGGACGATGCATCGGGAACTGCGTACGTGATCCATCGATTTTTGTCTGCTCTCTCTCGAGTCTCGATCGCTACGTACTCTCGATCCAAAGTAGTAGACTGCCATCATGTCGATCTCGATCTGGCTACTCGATGCATCAGACATCTCTCAATTGCTTCAACTACCGTCCCACGCATCTTCCCTCGTTGCCAAATTGGACAGCCTGCTGCTACAAACCAAGGTTCAATGGTTCTTCGATCTTCTTTCTTTTTATCATCATTTTATTTATATTTATGACATGTTCAATGAAACATACTAATAAAGTTATGTATCCTTGAATGAAAACAGGAATTAGCGACCATACAATGCAACATTTCAACAGATGCATATGGCGGTAAAATCTTTGGTCAAAACTGCTGGCCCTGAAGTAATTTCAGTCAAAAGCCGCCTTTGGCCCCCTCTCTCTCCTCCCTATATTTGGTCCAAAAGCCACACAAAAGACTGTGTTCATGATTAGAAACCAAAGCAATTAAAAAACGCCAAGCAAATGCTACAAAAGAAGTGCCTGGAGGAGAAAGAGGAAAAGGGGGGAGAGGATGTGGGAAAAGCATCAAAAAAGCAGGAAAAGGGCCGGGGGGAAGATATACATACACTGGCTAAAGAAACACACATTCTTCACAAATATGTGTATCTGTAAGAATGACAGGTTTAATTAGCCATGCATGGCAGGTTTAGAGGGAAAAAAGGACGTCTCTATATTTAGTTGTTTTTCCCTTTCATGATGAACGAACGGAATGCTTTAATTAGGTATGATACATCCATCTTTCCATAAAGCAAAGGAATAAAGTCAGGAAAAGCACTTCTGTGACATTTTCCTGATCAAACTAAAAAAACAGCACGAATCAAACTGCATATGTATGTTTGCTACTTGTTTTCTTCTCTTTTTATTTCAGGAAAAAAGAAAGTTGCTTGTTTCAGGCATAACCTTTTTTGATGTTATGATACATTAGTAGCTAGGATTATTTACTGGTCTAAGAAAAGCTAGGATTGTTTACCTACTGGTGATATCTCCAGAACTCCTACTACTGTCCACTTCCATTTATCAGATCGGATCAAAAGCCCAGAAGATTGCACACAACGATAAACAATTTGTTCTTGAATATGTACAGACAACATCAGTAATAAGCACAACAATCGTTCAGTTCCAAGAGTCAACAGAACCCAATACCTGTTTGTCACAAAGATACCAATGCCACAAGACATAAATTGTTTCTGTAACTTTTAGGTTCCTGTCCACTAATATGCAGACAGCTTCACATGGGAATCTAATGAAACACAACGTTAATGCGTTCTTAATAGTATCCCCTCCTCTTATTTGTCAATATGAAATGGTGTTATATTCACAGAATGGGAATCTAAGGACGGACAGCAGTCATGCATTAGTATTCCCTCATCTTATAGTCAATATACTACAAAGGGATTAGATTCGCAAATGAATTGTAAGCAACAGAGAACTTCCGAGAAGTTTCTCTTACGCATCGCACCATTCCAGATTAAGGCAGAACTCTGAAAACAAACTGGAGAGTTGGACAGCTGTGCATATTGGCAGCCATCAGTTCCCTTGCCCAGCAAACAGAGGATATATGTACTATATAATGCCAGAGCAAGTGTTTTGTGCTGCCACAATCTTCTAGTAGGTACACACTCTAATTACCATAGAGCAATTCCTTCTGTATGTGTATCACATGAATACTGAAGTTCATCAACCCTGTCATGGTGCATGCGTTCTTAAAGGTATGATTTAGGAAGCTACTGAACCTTACTTATCTGCCAATTGGTTGTGCAGGAAGTCTGAAACAGAGAGGCGCTGCAAAATACAGATAACACTTTAGTTCACAACAACACACACAGGCGCAATGATGATGAGGAGATATGATGGGGATAGTAATACTTCGAGGCTTTTACCTGTGTGCCATTAAAAAAGTTTGCAATTACGCATAAGTCATTAAAAAATTGAGCTCCCACGAGTGTCATCGTTCTGAACTTATTTGTTCTCCAAGCTATTCCGTCTGTGTTCTGTTTGTTTTTTACCGTTTGGCAACCCTTACATGTGGGCCCGGTCAGCGTAAACCTCAAAAATACCCTTCTCTTGTCCTATCCTCTTGCTTCTTTCTCTCTCTGTCTAGTGGGGCTAAACTGTCAGCGACCCGGCTCCACCTTCCTCCTCGTCGCGCGCCAGCCTCGTGCCACGCCGATGATGAGGTGGAGCTCGCTCACCCGCGCCCACGCCCGCACCGGGGCGGAGCTCGCTCGCGCTCGCGGCGGCCGGGTGGAGCTCCTCCGCACGCGCGCCCATGGCGGCCGGGTAGAGCTCGCCTGCGCCTGCGCCCGCGCCCGCGGGCGGCCGGGGCAGAGCTGCCCTCCAGAGAGCGCTCGCGGTGGCCGGTCTTGGCAAGCAGGTCGTCGATGGCGGAGAAGATAACGAGCTCGGCCTCGGCGCAGGAGGACTCGAGGTCACGCGACAGCGGGATGTAGTGCTGCACGTACGGCGGGCACGTCTCCTCCTAGAGCCCGGACCGTTCCAGCAGCCACGTCATGAACCGGACACTGCGCTCGTCAAAGCCCTGCCACACGCGCGAGTGCTCCAAGAACATGCAATGCCCATTGTACTCGGAAGCACACGTACAGCAAAATGGTGATGCTAGAATCATAAGCAGATATGCAACAGAAACTTGGGGGATGGGGAGTTAAGATCTCACCGTGCAGGACTGCAGAGAGGCTCCCCATGTGCATGAAGTCGTAATCAAGTAGCTTTTCATCTTTGCTGTAGTAGTAAGCACGGAGTGGCACAATGAACTCGTGCTGAAGCTCACCAATCTTAGAAATGCGTTCACGGAACTCAGGTTCAGACAGAGTCACGTCCTTGAGGCGCTTCACGGCCACAGTTGCCCCAGACTCGAGCACTGCCTTGTATGTCGTCCCGAACGCTCCTTTTCCGAGCACCTCAGCCGACGCGCGCAGCAGGTCCTCCAGGTCGAAAGGTGCCACGGCGGCCGCTGACCCAAAGAACACCAGCTTCTTACCGGACGTCGACTGGCCGATAGGCGACGGCGCTACAGCAGCGCCGCTGGTCATCTCGGGAGCTTTCCTGCCGCCAGCAGTAGCAGCAGGCGCTGGAGCAGGCGGCGGCATCTCCAGAGACCGCGTCCTGGTGCCCCCCGACCTGCGACAGAGGCAGACGAGGAGGAAGAGGAGAAGTGCGGCGCCCAAGGCGGAGCCTACAGCGATTCCGGCAATGGCGCCACCGGAGAGCTTCTTGCTCTTATGGCCACTTTCTCCCCCACTTCCACCGTTGGTGCCACCGCTACTGCCGCCGCCACCGCCACCGCCACTGCCACTGGGAACAGGCGTCGGCGACGGCGTCTGCCCCGCTTGAGCACGGGAAGGGGAAACCTCGCCAGGGCAAGGCCCCAAGGGCCCACCGCACAAGCCTGTCCCCAGGAACGTGGAGCGCGGCTGCGACCAAAGTGAGGCCGGGATGGATCCGTTCAGCTGGTTGAACGAAACATTGAACTGCTGCAGCGGCGGTAGTTTCACATCCGAAATCTCGTCGGAAAAGCGATTATTCTCAAGGAGCAGGACCATGAGGTGCATGAGGTTGCCGAGCTCCGCCGGGATGGGCCCCAACAGGTCATTCCCGCCGAGTGAGAGCCTGACGAGCCTTGGGAGAGCGAGAATCGCCTGCGGGAACCCGCCCGACAGCCTGTTCCCGTTGAGGAAGACGTTTCGAAGCACGGCGGCGGAGGCGAGGTCGGCCGGGAGTGGGCCGAAGAGCCCGTTGAGGCGGAGGCTGAGCATGTGGAGCGCCGTCAAGTTCCCTAGCGTCCCCGCGGGGGGACCACCCCGGGGAGCCGTAGCACCACCACGTAGCCGTTCTCGCAGGAGAACCCTGTCCACGAGCACGCGCCCGTGGCGTCCAAGGTGTTCCACGCCAGGCGCCGCCCTACGGCGTCACGGAACGCCAGGAGCGCCCGCGTGTCGCTCGCGAGGTCGTCGGCCCCCGCCCGCGCTGCCAGCGCCACGACGACGAGCAGGAGCACGGGGAGCGCGGAATGGAGGCGCAAGAGAAAGAGAGAGAAAGAGAAAGTTTGGGTGGCTGACAAACGGACCCCACTGTAGGGTAAAATGGTCAAGCAGACGGAATAGCTCGAAGAGCAAAGAAGTTTAGAACGATGGCATTCGTGGGAGGTCAACTTTTTTAATGGTTTGTGTGTAATTTCAAACTTTTTTAATGACACATTAGGTAAAAGACTCTAATACTTACCCTTTGTTCAAGACTAGCTTGCTCAGAACCTAGCTTCAGCTTCTCAAGGCATTCAATTGCTTCCTTGAAACCTTCGACTGCGGTGTTTTCATTCCCAAGATTTCGATCAACATCCGCAACTTTGGCAAAAGAAGTTTCTAGATCAATAACCTATATCCAATAGTTTTCAAATTATCATATTATAGGATGCCCATCTTAAGGAAACCACAATCTGAAGTCTGAATCATCTATCTGTTGTACGTAACAACTTATCTTAAAGAGAAACAGTTAACCTAAGCTAGACGAAATCAAGCTTCACTGTTCAAACAAAACTATTCGCAAAAGGAATATTTATATAAGAGCAATTAAAAATTCTACAAAATATCGAATAAAGATACATTCCATAAAAGACTCAAATGTAAGCAAACCAAGGAATCTAATGTTGACATTCTTGGACTGCAGTTTGGAGACACCTTTGAAAGTTTGGATCCTAAAAAGGTCAAATTTGATAACACATCTGCAGTGAAGCATATAATTTGATTTATTCAAGATATATACTGGAGATAGTGTGTTAGGCAAACACAAAAGCTTTGCAGCTATACAACTTAACAGGAACTTGAACTTTCCTCAGAATTACAGACAATGTTTATCTTGGCGACATTTTCTTCATCATTATTCTGTTGCTCTTTGTCATCAATACATCTGTAGCAGTACAAATGAACTAGAGATTTGTGCTTGTTTCTCACGATCACGCCCATTTCTAGCAATGACTCTGTGATCCTCAATTTGTGCAGCTCCATCCTGTCTGAAATCCTTAACATTGTGATTCAGAAAGCCAACAGCCCAGACCATTTGGAATTTGGATCAACGTCAATAATCTCTTCCAAGGTAACAAGAATAGTGGGAAAATCCACCTGGAAGCAGAAGTTTGCATCCTCATCCATGGTTGTATGTGAATTACCAACTATAGACATCTCCTTTTTTTGATGACACAGGAGTGAAACCCCTACAGGAAATTTGTTAAAAAGAAGAGCATGTAAATACATGGTTCAGGAAACAAAAAAGGTCAAAAAGAAAATAGAAAGAGTTACACAAAGGCTTGTAGCCATAAATCTATGCGTGGAAGATAGCTTGCTTTTGCTCTTAGGATAACTAAAGCAAATTCTTTCTTGAAAACAGCCTTGCATCTTTGCACGGAATGCTGAATGTTCTTGAAAATGTTGTCATTGTGCAGTGTCCAAATGGCCCAACACATTGTGATGATAATCTCCATGAAGAAGGGGAGTTGGAGCTGATCTTTGAAGCTTACCAAGATATCAAAGGGGTCACTGTTATGAGGCACAATCAGATTCAGAGAAAACCAGCAGGTCGAGGCAAAGGGGCAGTCCAGCATTAGGTGAAAAATATCTTCTACGGCCAAGGAGCTTAGGACAACTATTGATATCTCCTAATGACCTTGGATGACACTTTGGCCACTTTGGGGAGCCGGTTTCAGTTGCAAGGTTCCATTTGTAAATGGCTCCTCGACATGGGATAAAGCATGGCGCAGGGCCTTCAGGTGATGGAAATAGTCAGTTATAGATATATTCAACTTGGACAACAGGACAAGTGCACAAAACATGTTTCGGAGATGCAGCCCCCATTTCGCCATATAATCTCTCAATTTCAACTTCTTTATGCTGGTGCACATGATGTGAACCATCATGCTATTCTGACGTAGGACAATGTAGCCAAGTTGTAGACACTTGTTCTCTTCCAGAACATAACTCAGAGGGTGGATTTGTCAAATGTCACAGGAGTTGCCTCAACTTAGAATAGTTCAAAGCGTAAAGGTCAAGCACAGAGAATGTGGGTATTCTAGGCCACAGTCAATCTGCACCCCTACCTTTTACATGTAATCACTGATAGGTGGGGGCACAGATCACTGATTTTTACAACTATGTAAATAACAAATGGCTGGCATTTTATTATATTTACCCCAGAAGTTCAGTGCTATATTTTCCCACAAGAAGGGACCCGTAATGTTCCTTCCATTTCTTGTTTAATACAAAGAAATAATTGTCTCATTTAGATTTGTGCTAAATCATAACTGGCAGCACAGAAATTACCTGGGAGGCAACTGCTAGGTGTTCTCTTACTGCACTTCTGCGAACATCCAATGAACGGGCATAATAACTTCGTGCAGATTGCAAGTCCCCTTCATAGTAGCGAAGGTCTCCAATTTTATTAAGTGAAACTGAGTATGGACCGTTTATAGATGGATGTATAAGCTAAATTAACAGAACGATGTTTTGTCATCACACTGCTAATAAAATTGAATATGACCTCAAGATCCTTTGCAGGCAATTTCGAGAGCAACTCAGCACTTTCTTCATAGTAAGTGATGCTGAAGGAGCATCTCCCAACGCCCGACTAAAACATAGAACAGAGTTATATGGATGCAATATGCAATTCAGTGCTCAACAGACCAGAAAAGAAGGGCAAAACAGTGGTAAAGAGGGATGATGTGTATTAAACATACTAAAACAAGTACATCCCCGAGACACTAGCTTGTGGTATACTGTATAACGGTGTGGTAAGAGTAAATATCCAAAAGTAGATGTGCATCAAGATACAGTATCAGGTGCAAGGAATAACCAGCTTAGCCATAATGAGACTTTTCTTTTATTTTTTTCTTCTGAAAGAACAGACTATAGTTATACTCATGGTATTAGTATTTATTCCAGAGAAAATTTACTGCTTATTTGCAAGAACCCTAGTTCAATATGCAGTTGGAAGTATTAGTTCCGCAGAAAAATCTTGCTGATTTGCTGGCATTACTACCTTATACTATGATGGACTCTGCTATACATAGTATACACCTTTATTTTTTCAGAAAAAATAAAGCTATAGAAATTTAGACGTTAACACATTCTGTTACCAAGAAAATTCATGATAACTGTTATCTCAATTAAGTTAACTCAATGCATGCTTGAAACATCAATGGCAAGTTAGCACACACTCACAACTATTGCTCAATACTGTCTAGATGGAATGAGCCTTTTTTGATCTTTTAGGTGGAAATAGAATGGCCTTTATGCTTGGCAGAGCAAGCATTGTGCCTCCAAACTACGAATATTATCCACTGCATACAATTTTATGTCATTTTTGTACATTGTGCATAACCTTAGTACTAACATGAGCAAATACATTTAGACTAACAACAGAGGCACTAATAGGTTCAGCACCAAAAATCCTTTAGGTTCAGTACTAACAGAGGCACTATATTCACAAGTTTCCTGAAAATATTTTCAAAGGAATTTAATAGTCAAACTCTCCACCTTTAGGTGTTCCATGTCCAAAACATGATCGCACGTTTAAATAGAGAGGGGTACACAACGATAATGGTAGTAATTTGTAAAGATTTACTGGGTTGAATGCATTAATAATTCCCAGAGTTCGTACGGGTACTCCAGTAGTATGCTTAGTTTGCCAAAGTGGGAACAATAAACTAGGAGTACCATAGGAGAGAGAGAGAACCATATCAACAATCCCCAAGCATTCCTAAAACAGCTCCAAGCTGAGAGCGCAGATCTATATCTGCTGAAGATCTCAACTCCTCCCTGATGTCGTCTTCTGCACACATACTGAGCCTTGACTTTGCACTTCCAACGTTCTAAGCACGGGAAGCCTGGAAATGTAAAATTTACATGCATTGGCAAAACATCAACATCATTAAAAAAGTGGTATAGACCAGAGAACAATTAGCGATAGAAATTTAACCTATTAACAAGTTCAGATTAAGAGGTAAATGCCGTTGATTTAGTCAATGACCCTCATAGCCTGCTGCACCAGAAAAGCTCCTGATGTTACTGTCAGATTTAGCAGGGCATCCGCCGCTGCAGTTCCCATTGGATTTCATTTGGCAGACAGATGCAAATAGACTGTTCGCGCCGAACAAGAACCTAACGGAATCATGGGTGGTTGGTTTGGTGGGATACTCATTAGATTATATCAGCAGCGACGAATCCGCAACAGATTGAACGGAGAGGAAGGAATATTCGAACGCCATTGCTCATAAATCGGACGAACATACAGCAAACGCTGGTTCCCAATAACAAATCGAAGTCCTAAATCAAGTAATCAACCCAACCCTTCCTTAATCTAAAAAAAAAAGACTGTTCGAGTCGGATCACCTACCAGCAAACAGAAGAAATCGACCGAAGTCCGGATGGTAAGGAAGAGGAGGGGAGCGACGACTCTCGACGAGGCAAGGCTTCAGTGGGACGGAGCTCGGATAGGGAAGGGATAGCTCCTCCCTGCCCGGCTGGCGGCTGCCCGCCGATGTGGGGAGGCGCAACAAATTGCGGTGGCCGTTGAATGGTGGGGCCAGCTCGGAGGCAGTCAGGTTGTTTCGCTTTCCAGTTTTGCCCCTGGATCCACGGCAAGATGACGAACGAGTTCCTTGGCCTCTTCGCTGGTTGCTTTCTGGGCTGGTTTAGGCTGGCTGGTGCTGATTTATTGTGAGGGGAAAATACTGTTGGCTGGCTGGTTTTGGCTGGTTGAAACCAACAAG